GACTCCTTTACATGACCCTGCAGTTCCATGTGAATAGGGAAGTGATCAGACCCGTATGTGTCATCTAAAACTTGCCATTCGATTATGTTTGCTACTTGTGGACTTGTAAGCGTAACATCTACTGCTGAAGCACACTCCTGTGGCCTAGATAGTCTAGTAGGTGTTCCGTTGTTCAAAAATATTGCATGTGCCTCATTAATAAATTCTAACAGGATTTTGCCAGCATTGTCTGTTTTTGATGAGCCTAACGCCATGTGATGTGCATTCAGATCCCCCCCGATAATATACGGAGATGCGATTTGTGATAGTATATGTTTATAATTTTCCATACAAAGGTTATTTTGCACCGTACGGTACATTGATATAATGGTTACATTTAGATCTAGTAATTTCGCGCCACATATCATAAAGTCGTTATCAAAATCAGTGTTAATGCTTATCTCTGCATAGTTAAGTGATTTATGAATGAGAATCGCCACACCCGCATAGCCATCTGCCCTATCTTTTTTAACTACATTAAAATTCTTGACCTTTAGTTCCCTGCCTCGTTTCCACCACGTTTCACTTAATATAATAATTTTGTTGACGTTTCAAATACTTTCGGTAGTTGGGTGTTAACTTTTAAACTTTGCCTGTACGCGTATCCCTAATCCTGCCAATTTTAACTTTTCTTCATAAATCGCTTTGGTTTCGCATGCTCAGATACAAAAGTAATTATTTTTGTGCCGAAAGGAAATTTAAATCGATGTGCTCGTGCTACCTGTATGATAGTTCATCAATATTTCAGGAAATCGACCTATGAGCATCAAATATTGGTACCTAATGGAAGGCAAACGGCGGCATGCTTAATTGTGGTTATTGGCGAGGGGTTTAATGTTTCTCGTAATAGAGTGACGTTTTCAGTCACATCAAAGAAATTTGGTAAATTGCTTTAATTCGAGCAAAATCATTTCAGCTATCGCACAAACAATTATTACCGTCAGATGTGCATTATTATGGATGGCTCAGAACCTGGGATCGTGAGGGTCGTTCTAAAGTCTGCTTTGGCAACCTCTTTTGTAAACGTATTCACTCAGTTCGCTTCTTTCAAGTTTTCATCGTAGGTCTGTCAACGGTAGTTACCTATGTTAGCATTAGTATTGCATCCCCCCAAATCTTGACACAACTCAAACTCCGATGCTTGTGAAGTTAACAATAGATTATATCTTCTGTATATTCTCGAAGAGGCGAGTGCATTACAGAATTTCTGAAGATGCATTTTAATTATGTCACCACGCTGACGTAATTTGCTTTATTTGTTCTTTTAAAGGGATTACTAATCTGGTATCAAATAAACATAAATCAAGTAACGGGCGATCGAAAATGAGTTGCTGTCACGTTTGGAATTTTTTTACATGAGAAATCGTACTTAACTTGAACTTCCAAAGCCGACTTGAAAGCAATTTATTTTTGATCGCCCGTTACTCGAGAAGATGGAGACTTGTAGCACACATTAGAGAATGACGAAATTTAAGGATTAAGGATGCAACCACAAAAGGCAATAAATAACCGTGTTATAGGATTCTGAATTTCTGGACCAGACCAAATCCAACAAGAAAGCTCACTAATTTAACAAAAAGGAGTATTTTTTTTACATACCTATCAAAAATAAATCGAAAGGCGAGCTAAATTAAATAGAAACCATAATAGTCACTCGGAAATTGTTAATAGGTAATTAATGAACTTATGTCTCGACTTATGTGCTATGGTACTTGTTAACCGATGGACGGCAAAAGCAATAGGCCAAAGAAGAAAAGAACACACCTTTCCGGATGGCCCTATCTACTGTAACTATTTATATCAAGCGTGATAAATTGTGGACATTTGCAACAGTCGTAATGGGAAAAAATCCGATACAACTGAATACCGAACAATCCTAGAGATCTTTCTGCAACTACGCAACTGTAAAACAATTGTAAACGATCTCGAGGTTCGTTAATAAAAAATTAGTACCTAAAGGAGATTTATCGTTTTTTAAAAGATAAAATCACTGTTGTGTTATGTCTGAGCACTGTGTATTCAATCGTATATACAGTGTGTTTCCGATCGAGTTGCTTTGCATGGGTAACTTTATTATTGAAAATGAATGGAAAATCTTTTGTATGCTAATGATTTTCATTTAGAAAAATTCAATTGATGTGAATTATTTGAAAAACCCTGGAAAAAACAGATTAAAAAACAAACTTCTGTCGTAAAAAGCGACCCTCCACCATAACGGTAAAGGTGTAGTTCAATCTAATAAAAATAACTATTATAAAAGCAATCAAGGCATATCACACTCGTCGAAACCTCTGAAACTGAAATATTACCTATTTACTCGCATAGATCACATATTGCTGTGTGCACTGGCAAACGGTCACTAACCACCCGCAAAACACCTGTGCAGTTAGCCCAATTAAATAAATTTGATTATAGATTTCTCAAGGCACGTTCGGCCTCCGCTACAATAAAAAAAATCTTGTTAAAAACTTAATTTTATTAATTTAGGAATCTCGGCAGCCTTGATTACATTCAGCAACTCTAAGGGAAGGATTTATTTAAACAAATTTTGAATAACACCTACCATCTCTAATCCTGGATCGTAAAATTCAGGGTTTGATTAAACACAAAATTGTTCTGACAAATAAAAAAACTTTATTCGGACTACACACAAATTGACAAAGCTGAAAGAAATTACTAATAACATCGTTATTAAACCGGCGACACTTAAAATTTCCCTACGTCGCCAGAACTGATAAAACACCTGCATCGTTTATCTCGCACGTCACGTTGTTTGAATTCTTGCCCGGTAACAACTTTTTATCAACACCTGAACAGATAACAAACACGTAAAAATTTCGACTAAATACTCCCTTGGTTACCAGTTTTAAATTTATCATACAAACTAAGTAAAACAAATATAATTAAGCGAATTAAACAATTACCGACTAAATTGGAAATAAAACATGCATTAAAAAGACAATTTAGCAAATTTTTCTAATTCTGTGTCTCTTCGAAAAAAATACCACAAAAAACATACAGGATGTCCTGACCGTTATTTTCAATATTCAGACCTGCATTGTTTCAACGTAAAGAAACGACGCCCCCATGTAGTTTACACAACAATAAATTTTGTTGGCGTGACGTGTACTAGATTTAATATCAATCGCATATCCAAAAACCCTAAACTGAACTTGTCCATCACCACTGCGTTTACCCATAAAAATTATTCAGTTTTAAAACTATTTCCACACAAATTAAGGCTACCTGTATAAATTTTATTGACTTTATTTAAGGGATGATATGTGTAGATTTAGTATTAATATCAACATTCAATATAATTAGTGTTCAAACCCCTCTAAATAGGATTTACCCGTGCATATGCATATCAAATACACATACAGTCAAACATGTGTGCTTGTACAGTGTCCGGAATAGTTTTAACGTGGATAACTTTTGTTTTCACAGAAGATTAGATATACCCACTTCCTGCGAAACAGGAAGGGCTGAACTGGTTTTTGCATATTTATGCTTGCTTGACATGAAATTGAAATATGGCGGGATTGCTAACTACATATACACATGGGTCTGCGGTAACCACTTAATCACTGATAGAGGTTGTTAATACTTAACCAAAGAAAACTGGTTATTGGTAAAATCCCCCCTTCTTACTTGTTTACCTGTATTACAAAGAATAATGTAAATGTCAGTGTCGAACTGAATCTGCCTCAGAGCAGTTGAGTTGTAATAAACCTTACATTACAGCAAAGTATTCTTATTCAGTTTAATAGGCACTCGATAAAGTAACTAAATCTTGAGCAATCGTTGATTAGTTAAATTAACAATGTTTTAACCGGACATCCGGCTCGAAGGACCATTGTTAATTTAACTAATCAACGATTGCTCAAGATTTAGTTACTTTATCGAGTGCCTATTAAACTGAATAAAAATACTACTAATGCTGTAATGTAAAGTTTATTACAACTCAACTGCTCTGAGGCAGATTCAGTTAGACACTGACATTTACATTATTCTTTGTAATACAGGTAAATAAGTAAGAAAGGGGGGATTTTACCAATAATCAGTTTTCTTTGGTTAAGTATTAACAGAGGTTATATTATGAAGAATTAATGTGAAATTCCCACTTCTTGATAAGGCGGCTTGTGGTCGACCAAAAGTGTCCACCGCATCGTACGAAAAGGATCAATATAGGCAATTTTTAGTTTGCAAATGATGTATCTAAAATTTCATTGTATCTACAGATCGAGGTGCAGATTGATAGCAAAATCATTTTTTAAGCTCACGAGAAAGCAGACGGTTTTTAGACAGTTTATGAACCAGAAATTGTCATTTGAACGTTGTCGGCCGAAAAGTAGGTATGGGCATCAAATCAAGATAGTATCGGTCTCATTATTTTTCCACTACATTTATATCAATTCTAGAAGTTAAAAGCAATAAAAATGACAAAACACAGATGGTTTGTAGGTACCTACCTAATGTTTGAAATGAAAATATAAATGAAAATATTAGATATGAACTACTAAAAAATTAATGGAAGCAGCTGATAAATAAATAAATAAAAAATTTCCCATCTACAGCACAGATACCACCCGCACAACTGCGCATGCACGATTCTGCTCAAAAGCTCTCTTCCTTCTATATCTAAGAATATGTGTACCAAATTTGGTTCTAATTGGTTCAGCGTGTTAGGCGAAAATGAGAGTATAGACAGATAGACCGACGGAAAAAATGGACTTAAAATTATAAAAAGGATTTT